AATCTTCAAGTATAAATAAAGTAAAAAATAGTGAAATGACCTTTGAGTTTATACTTCATCTTTTTTTTTCAGCAGTTTTATGGTTTGGGTTTCCAGTAATTGTTAGGAAAGCTTCAGTTTTTCCATGTAGAATTTAAAAATCCTGTTTGCTTTCTCATGCTTTCATCAGAAGTACAAAGAGTTTGTAGAGTTTGAGGTTGGCGGTTGGTCTGCTGACAACTTTGTTTGGTGATTCACATATGTTGGAATTCAATGATAATGCCTTTTCAAAATGTTATTAAATAGCTTACTTCTATTCCTGGAGCAAATAAACAGGTATGATTAGAGTATAGCTAAAACTATGTCAAATAATTTAAGGAAAAACAAAATTTTTCTTTGAGGATGGGGAATGAATAGGTCCAGGAACTGTTCAGAAGGATACTCATCCAATCATGCCAGACTCATGGATCAATTTGAGGGCCAGTGGGGCCAGAAACAAGTTATCTATCAGTACTCCGGGTATGTAGAGTCACCCTAGGTCAAGCATTTACACTGTCTTCTAGTTCAAGGAACAGGTGTTTTTTTAATTTGCTTGGAGCACTTTTGTTTTGAGTCTTGGCAGGCTGTTCTTTGATCTGTAATTCATGCAGTTTTTATTCACAGTATTTTTTTTATTTCCCGATGATTTTATAAGTGTTATATTTTTGCTTTAAAAGTTGTAACATTAAGGTAACTGGAATAATTTAATATGGAAGTAAGTTGAGGAATTGGAACAGTTGGCACTTTGAAGAATTTACTCTAGTTATAAAATTACTTATCATTTATCAGACAGACTTTGTTTCAGAGAGAGGAAAGAAGAGCGTGAGCAAGAGAGATTGGGTTTTTCAAACAGTGGTGAGGGGGTTGTCACAGCCCTTCCACCCTTTTCTGAGGCCCCAGGACTGTGAAGGAGACCATCAGGAGTTAGGAATCTAACTGGGACTTCTGCACAATTCAGTGTCTAAGCCCTCAGAAATATTCCCCAGCCCTAATTTCATATTTAAAGGTGCCGTACATCTTCTGTATAATTTTTCCCTTTTTATTTCTTCACTAAACAAACAGTTGAATTCCTAGAGCAGTTCTATATCCCCACCCTTACACCCTGTAGAGTTGTTTTGTTTTTCCTTTTTTTTTATATTTCTTTTTTTCCTACTTGGAACTACTCTGAACACTGGGGTGAAGTGAGGATCCTATGTATTCCCTAGTTTCCTGGTTTTATATGACAGGGAGATAGTTACACAGTATTGCATATATAAAAGACTCTAAAGTAATTATCTTTCTCTCAAAACTCTAGCATCAATTTATTTGTAGCCTCAGACTTACCAGTAAAGCTTAACTTTTCAGATGAAAAACAGTGACAGATGGTCTGCAAACACAGATCTTGGAAGTCTTCAGCAATTTTGCAGCTATTAAAAGGGAAATTTACAAATCAAAAGTTAGTTGGAGGGAAGAGGAAGAGACACAGTAGATATGACCTTTCAAAAAAGGATCAGAATTCAAATGACCTGAGTAAATTGGGGAAAGAGCCACAAGCAAACAGAACAGACTTCTACAAAGAGAAATGAAACCCAGTGTAGCTATTCAGAAAAGACAAAAGTATCTTTGCACATAAAAGGAGGAAGACTGGTTCTGTGCAAGCTTTTATGTAAAAGATCTCAGCCTTGGCAACAAGTTGGTCTTTTCAGCACAGTCAGCCCTACTTTTCAAAAGCATCATTGAAAGACCTAAATGTGAATGACAACTTCAGGAACCACGTGATAATTCCTAATAGGAAAACTGTACTTGTTTGTGATAGAGATAGAAAGAAGAGTCTTTTGAAGTCACATCAAATCCTTTTTCAAGCTTCTATTAAAAGGATTGACTTCTTACACTCCTGTTGAATCCATGATGGTAATTTTTGGCTGCTGGACTATATCACCTATTCTTTCCAACTAACAAACGCATAGAACATATCTATAATTTTATATTCTTTGCAAAGTAGTCATCAAGCTCACTATCCTACCTCTTACCTCCTATTACAGAACCTTTACTTAAAATAATAACTCCACTTCTCGGACTAACTAAACTTTCAAATGATACAACTATCCTACTTCTTAGCTCCTATTACAGAACCTTCACTTAAAATAATAACTCCGCTTTTCAGACTAACTAAACTTTCAAATGATACAACTTAGCTTCCAATTGTGTGCATCAAGCATAAATGTAATGAGCAGTGTCAGAGGGCTTGGTTATACCACTGGTGTGGGGAGAGTGGTATAGCTACATATCCAAAGCAGATCCAATAAAATTGAAAACGTAACATTTAAACTATAACCACAGAACTTGGAAATGTGCCTGTCAAGGTGAAGGTGTTAGAATGCAGAGGAGTGGGCGGGGGGGGGGGGGGAGGGGGGTGCAGGAGGACATTGGAAAAGGAAAGTTAACACACAGTGGGATGGGTATACAAATACTGCATGCATGAGGCCCACCTTTCAATACCTATATATCACAGTTCTTTAACTAAAAAAATTAAAAACTAAATAGCAGTGCTATCACAAAACAATTTCCCTTAAAGAGGAGAAAAATGTTAAGTTTTACATTTGTTATATGCTCAGGGGTGTGTAGATGGAATAGATAGATCTCCGGTCATAACTGCATGTTAATGATTCCGATAGAATAAAATTTGAGGAAATAATCTACTGAAGTCCTGTGGCTAAATCTGAATATTGTTTCATTTCTCCAGCATTGTGTGATAATACGAGTAAAACCCAGTAGCAATCCTACCATTGTTTCTGACCTTTCCGATTTAGCAAGACTGATGAGCAGCAAAACGAACTTTAAAACCTGCCTTCTTTGGGTGGGGATGTGTGTATGGCATGCCCAAGGCAATATCAAAAACAAACAGAAGTTCTCTTCCTACATCAGCAGTTTTGCTAACTCAAGTGTGTTGAAGTGCATTTTAAAATTAGGAAAACTGAAAAGGAATTTTGTGCTAGGAAATATATGCATAGAGATGAATTATAAATTTAGTGGCTGCATAATTTGATTTCAACAACTTTTTTATTATTTTATACACTAAGTGATAAAAACCAAAATATTTAACCTTCTTGCATATGCTTGAATCATCCCACTTAATTCCTTCCTTATTCTTAATCACTGATCAACTTTTTTACATCATTGTGGAAACACATATTTAATGTGCTATGTGATTTTATATATAAATTATAGCAAGTTTATATTGTATCAGTTTACATATAAATTTATATTTATGTAACGATATAGTATATAACCTATTGGATTATCTTTTTCATTCAATATAATTTTCTAGAGGTTCATCCATGTTGTCACATGTAGCAATAATTCTTCTTCATTTTTTATTGCTGTGTAGTATTTCGTAGTGTAATCTGACCATAGATTTTTTTTTTAACCGTTCACCAGTTCGTCATCTGAGTTTCCCTTCTAAGCTGCCAGAAATATTCACATGTAGGTTTTCTGTGTCAACATAAATCACTGTTTCTCCGGGAATAGTGTCTGACATAAAATTGCTGAATGGGATGGTAATTGGGTAATCAGCTTTATCAGAAGCAGTTAAAAACTGTTTTTTTTTAGAGTTTCAGTTACATTCCCACCTGTAAACTATGAGTGATCCAGTTTCTCTGCATCCTTGCCATATTTGACAGTATCACTGTGCTATATTAGCAGCCTAGTAATATCTCATTGTGGTCTTAATCTGTGTTTCTCTAGTAGCTAATGGCATTTCATTTCATGAGATTGTTTGTTTCCTGTATTCCAGTTTTATAAAATGTCTGTTCATATTATATCCATTTTCTAGTTGAATAGCTCTGAGGTTTTATTGTCATTTTATAATTGTCATTGACTTCTTAGAAATTTTATATTCTAAATACTAGGCTTTTCTTTACTGAAAATAGTTGTGAATTTGTTTCCAAACATTTTTTCCTGGTCTAGATTAAATTTTTATTTTAACTACATATATTTAAAATAGCATACCTGTGTTTCAATCTGACAATCTCCATTTAATTTGTTTACTCTTTTCAGTCCTTTTCTTTCTAGCACAGCTAAATATTATGCCAATATATTCATAAACAGGCTAATTACACTTAATAAAACTTTCTCTGATTTTTCTTTTTTTTTTGTAGTAAATGGCTGAGGGACAAGAGATTACAGCTAATAATAATGTTAGAACTTAGTACATCTATTCACAAAGAGATGAAAGAATTTAACTTTGCTATGATGATATGCCAAAGTCCAAACAACCAGCTGGAAAATGGAAAATGGAATTATACAAACTGTTGTCTACTACAAAGCTAATGTTGTATTTGAAATCTTTAAAAATAATAATTATTTCATATTTGTAAATTCACCTAATTAGTATGCTAATTATGGTGTACTAATGAGTGATAATATTTGATCTTATCTCAATTTAAAGAATCCCCTCATAGAATTTTAAGCAATGTAAAACCCTTCTGTTGTGTCACCAACTGCTCTCCAAATGAGTGTTTTATCATAAATGTTGTCTTTCCTTTTTTATTTTCATTGAAAACAACACAATGGTTTGTGCAAATGGGGATAACTTTATGTTCAATTTTAGCTTTTATTTCTGTGCTTAAAACTTTATTAGAGCTTTTGTTGGATGTTTTATGTTCTGTTTGTATGAAAGATTACATTTTGCTTTTTTAAAAAAGAGAAATTTATTTTTAGCAAGCATGGTAATATAATCTTGCTTACACTCAGGGAAGAGAGCACCCTCAATGTGGCTTAATCAGCATTGTAGATCATTTTCTTTCTTTCCCATTGACTCAGATATGTGCATTGTTGAAAATGTGTGCTTTAGCAGCATATATTTTTGAGTCTAATTAGTTGCCTGCCTGTAATCAGGACTTTTATCAACTGTTGTCATTCTAAATGTTTCCTTTCTTTTTTTTCAAACACATTTGCCTGATTGACCTTTTTTTTTTCTCTGTCTTTCTATGGGGCTGCTCCAGGAGCCATGGCTAATCATCTTATAAGCAATGCTCTGCTTCGTCCGCATGGTACTAACAATCCCTATAATACATTGCTTGGGGAACCGGCGGTCTGTAACAACCCTTCTGTCAGCATGTACAACGCACAAGGTGTGCTGGAGTTTATCTTAATTTTTTCAAGTGAGAGTCCCATTTTATGTAGCTTTTATGGCCACATCTTATTTTTCTTTTCTTCCTCCTGCCTTTTCTTTCGATTGGAAGCAGACACACAGATGCCTCTCACCTTCCACCCTTCTTGGTGCTTTTTTTATTTTCCATTTTCCTTAGGTTTCCTTAGTCAGAAATGGACTCCTTCAGAGAAACCACTGTTTGAATCATCAATCTGTGTGTAATGTTTCTCTGTAATGTTATGAATTGTATTGTGGTTTGTCAGTCCTTTTCCTGTTGATTGACTCTATATTCATATCTGAATGTTTATTTCGAGAAATAAGTTCTTTTTCTAAGGTAAGTATGAAAAATGAAGACTTGGTTGTAAGACAGTGTTGCAAAGTGAATAAAAAATATCATGTACAATGAAGCACACTCTCTCTGAACAAAGCATCAGTGCTGATGAAAACTTTTAAACCGACTCCAGGGAAAATTACATTGAACTCAGCCTTGGAGGGAAGACCATTGAACTGAACAGTGACAGATCCCGTTCTACTCTAGCTTATCAATGACACCTGTATGAGCAACCTCAGGAAGGTGAAACATACAAAATGTATTTCCTACTGTTGCTACATGTTTAAAACAGGCTTTTGAATATGGTTTTGATATACATTCTTGAGCTATAAGTGACACAAAACAAATTATATCTTAAAATAAGCACAAATTGCTTTTAAACAACTTAAAATAGAATCACCGGCTGTGACTTTCCCTCTTTTTTAAGAACAAAAATATTTATTAGGGTCACAAAAGCATTTAATGTATTCACATCATATGTAATAAGGTTACAGAAAATTATTTAACTAAAAATTTCATAAGAGAAATTTTCCAGTCAGTGATTTGATTATGTAAAATTGTATTTGAAGGAAAACTCACAGTAACAAAGAGATTTTCATGGTTCCTTCAAGGTGGATGTGATAGATTTACAATTTCAACTTTTTTTAAGCAATTTTGCATAAAATTTTCATTAGGCTTCATGGGAATCTTTGTGATGTTTTTTCCCCTCTCAGTGAGAGGTAAATGACTAGTGGCATGAGCGCCTAATTCTTGGTATGAATGCCCATTCTAGTAAGCAGATGTTTACAACATGGCCAATGGGAATCAAAACCATCTAAGCTTTTCAAAAGACATTCTGCCAGATAGGAAAAATAAGTAAATTATTTCAAAAACAACAAAGCCATTGGTTCAGAAGAAGAGACTTTAGGAATATAGTCAGTTTGTTAATAGAATGAAATGATTAAACTTTCATATTTTTCCAAGTTTCTTATGACAGTTTTAATTTTTATCAAATCTAAGAATTCCAGTTTAAACAAATTCTTACTGAATCCTCTATCTAATATTCTGCCTGTTTAGGCTTAATTATATTTCACATAACATCACGCTTCTCATTTCAGTATTTGTATATCCAATATTTAAAATGCTTTTTTACATGGACCTTTTTTTTGTACTAAGCGGAAGTTTGTCCCTGAGCCATATATTTGCTCTACAACAAAGAACAAAGTATTAGAACACTTTTTTCTTTTTTCAATCTGTTTAATACTTGAAAGAAATGTACCTGTCTTATTTTAGTCCTCCATCTTCCAAGTCAGACAACTTTAGTGCCATCAGTATGAGATGGTTTCTGGGTTCTTAATGGTTACCCCCTTCTAAATTATCTCATTTGTCAATGTGTCTATTTCATTATATCATTTAATGAAGTATATATTAACTAACACACCAGGTGTAGTTTGGCAGAACAATGTAGCACACCTTAGAAAGGATTGTTTTTCTTTATTTTCATTAGTCTATGTGAGAAATAATTGTGTCATAAATTTAAGTAATCTAAAATTCTATTAAGTTTTAATAAATGGTAAATGAAAATTTATGCAGTACCTTCAAATTAATCTATTCTACTTTATTCCACATAATGCAGAGAGTTGATGGAAATTGTTTTAAAACCAGTAATAAATATGGATTTTTTTAAATTACCCAGATACAATTTTTGGTATCCTTAATAATGAACGGGCTGGAGCGATAGCACAGCGGGTAGGGCGTTTGCCTTACAAGCGGCCAACATGGCCGACCCGAGTTCGATTCCTCCGCCCTTCTTGGAGAGCCCGGCAAGCTATCGAGAGTATTCGATATGCCAGACACAGTAACAACAAAGTCTCCAATGGAGACGTTACTGGGCCCGCACGAGCAAATCGACGATCAACGGGAGGGCCTTTACCTTTATCTTTACCTTTAATAATGAACAGCTAGCAATTATTAATCTAAATATTTCTTCAAATCCAGCATTTGCCTTCTTATCTTACCTTATTTTTATTGGAATCCATAATTAGGATAGTTTTCTGAAGATGCAATGTTTCTAAAATCACAATGTAGCTGAAATTCTCATGATGTGAAATTTAAAATATTGCCATCTAGAAACAGTTTTCTTTCTATAAAATCTTTTATGAAAAATTTGCTATTAAGAATATCATTCGTTTGAATAAAAATTCTTTTGAATGGTTCATCATTTATGCCAATAAACAAATTATATGGAATTTTCTTAAAAATGAAACTAAATAATTGTATTGATGTTTTTCAGTCAGAAATGGAATTGTTTAGCTATTTTCTGCCTTAATATATTTTTACTGTTAAGAAACTATAGTAGTACCTGAAAATAATTATTTTTTTCCAATGACCAAAAGTAAATTTTGGTGATTGTCATATTGCTACTAATCTTATGCTTTCAGATGAATGCACTTATATTCTAAGTGGCAAGGTGAAATCTTACATGAAATATAGGTGGCTCGGTATGTACTGGAGTGGTTCATGCTAAACTACCACTTGGTTCTGTTCTATGGGTCCTCTATTCAGTTGCACCAATGCCATCCTAGCAAAGAAGCTTTTAAAGTATCCATTTCCAGTTGCACTGCCTTCATTTAAATTTTTGGTGACATGCATATGCAGTGCACCTGAAGCATACAATTAGTAATAGAGATGAATGATATAGATTTATGATATTGGTTCAAATACTGTCAATGGGAGTATTTAAAACTTCATGCATGGTATTTTTGGATCATTATCTTCTTGTCAGTTTTGGGAAATTCTTTTTTTGTAGAGAATTTCTAATAAAGAGAAACTTGTCAGCAAAACAATATAGAGAGGAACTTGACAAATTAGTTTCCATTTTAAAGTAACTTAGCTAATTTTGATATCAGAAAATATATAGATCCATAAGATGGGCTATAGTAAAGAATATAAACTTTTAAAGCACATACATAAACACGGCATTTTGGCTTTCAAAGCCTATGTTCAGTTGTGAAGTGATCAAGTGTCTGGCCCCAGCTTAGTGACTGTTAACAGCAGACTGTTAAAAGCTCAGATTCCCAAGGCCTTAGCAGTGCCCTCATCTCTTAAAAGCAGAAATTAAACTTCAGTTATCTCTCTTGTGCTTTCCAGTACTAAAATTCTATCATTTAATGAAGGAATAATTGTAAGTGTACAAATAAATGATTTCCATCTGTTGCTACAGTGGTTTGGCTCTTTATTTTCTAGTTCTTTATTCTAAAACTATTCTGAAACATTGAAAGAAATTTTCTTTGCATTTATAAATACTGTTAATATTTTGCTAAGAAACAAATCAACTCTTGTAGTAAACACACACACACATACACACACACACACACACACACACACACATATATATACAGCTTGTTTCTAAAGCAATGATTAAATCCTAGCAAGTTAGAATTTCTTAAATTGATCTTTATCTGTTGAATTCACTGTTTGTGTGTGTGTATGTGTGTGTGTGCTATTTTAACCTTCATGTAAGCAAAATCAGTAAGAACAGTTATTTGACCAACATCAAAATAAGATTAAAAAGTAATTTTTCAAGAGTTTTTTTTTAAAAGGATCAACTCTAAAAATGAGTGAATACATATAATTGAATAGCAGTCCAGAAGAAAACATGAGATTGTTGGTGATATACTTCCCCTTAAGTTTTCTTGATATAGAATAATGATGAGTTTGATATTTACTTTCACCATGTTATACAACTTTTAAATATGAACTCCAGAAATTATAACATTGATAAGTATTATCCATAATCATAAGAAAGAAGCTGTATAGGATTAGTGGAGAAACATAGCCTTTGTCTATGGAAAGAGAAGATACATATGGGAAAAATCACAATCATGAAAATTTTCTTTGATATTTTTTGCATATGCAAGCTAAATATTTTAGTTACAATAATACTGAAAATTCTTAAAGTTAAATAACATTTAGTAAAAGCAGTTATGTTCTAACAAACATACATCCAATATTGAAATTTAGTTGTGAAAATAGTCACAGCTTACCCACAAATATTTACTCTCTTTGGTTGGTATGATAATTTTAATTGTAAATTACATTTGTATTTGTTTGAAATTTATAAACTATAGAAATGCTTGTTAAAGACTGATTTTATTAGCATGTGTTAAGGGGGGTTTATTTTCTGACTAACATTTCAATATTTTTAATTATGATAAACCATGTAACACAGACTCATAAATTTTGGGGCAGTGGAAATTATTTCCTTTGACTCTTTTTTCTGCATATCATCAATTTGCTTTTTACTCATGTTTCTTCTACTGTCGCTGTAAGCTTACTTGTTGTTTTTTCTTTCCTTTTCTTCATGCTGTCGTTTAGAGCCCTACAGAGAGACAAGTATGGGAGTAAAGCTAAACATTGCATATCAAATGTAATTTTTTTTAGTTCACTTTTATTGCATCACATATAGATGATGTAGTTATTAAAAACAGTTCATCTCACAATTAAAACCTAAAGAACCTATGAATCAACTTATAAATATATGTTAATAGAGATTAGACGCTTTTGTTGTCTGATTCTTTTATTGTGTCACATAATCAACATAGTTAAGTCTCATGTAATGTTTGTGTGAGTTAAATTGTTTTTAAATTAAGCATTTATTTTTGCTAAGTAATTCATATTTTTCATTTGTATAAGCACATTCTGTCTTATAAATATATGTCATATGCAACATGCCCACTTTATTTTACAAAGGCTGTTTCAACCTGCACCTAATGCATTGACAACAGAAATAATAAATATGTGTTTCAATGCATCAGTCACCTGACCATAACCATTAAGCATACCATAACAACCTCTGCAGCAACAATCACCCATCACATATGGCCCTTTAAAAAAACATTTACTTTTTTTAACATTGTTAATTGTCTACAGATATCTTATAACATGAAAATAAATTGCTTCACCCTATGTCTGTGATGGCTGCATTTTAATGAATGTCATGCATTACTGTAATGGAAAACTGTGTTACTTGGACATAGTAAAGCTCAGAAATCCATAATAAAAGTGGTATATTTGGGACAATATATAAACCAGCTATGAACTAGTTCAATTCTGATAAACATACTTTCATCACAGATATAGAATGAATGCTGTATTTTCACAAGTTAGCAATGTATTAAGAAGTTTAATCAATTTCTTTAATTGTTCTGTAAAAAAAAAATACCTTCTCTTCTTTACCAGCATTGGTTAAATGTTTGTGTTTTTCTTTTATTTTGTGGTTGCATTTGAAGTGATTTATGAAACTATTATAGATCATGGATTTCTGTTTATTCAAGACAATGCAAACTCTTTAAGAAGCATGTAGTCAAATTTATTTCACTGCAACTGTTTTTTTTTCCCCAGATAAACTGTTTAATGTTTTAAACCTAAAGTTTATATGCACACAAAGTCATCACTTATTATGAAATGGATTTTTAATGCTGACACTATATTTTTAGGAATCAAATCCCACCAAAATTACTCTTTATTCTAGTGTTACTTAACAATTCTAAACAACCACTAGCATGTCAATATGTATTAGTAACCAAAGTGCTTAAAGCAGGGGGAAAAGAGACTGTAAATCTAAATATTTTTGTTTAGAAAGTTCCTATATGCAAATTATGTTGATGTGCCATTTATTTGACTAAACATTTTTTCATGACTACATCGTTCTGACAAATTTAACATAATCCTTTTGTGGCTGGTGTTTAAAGACTATTTTGATCTTATAAAACTATATATAAATTAAAAAGAAACCTCTAATTTGTTTACCCTTGACCAGTGTAAGCAAAGTACCACAATGAATTATGTTAATACTATATCTATTTCAATGTAAAAAACATAAAAATTAAAGATCATTGAATTGACTTTGATGTGTATAAATTGAAAGCCATGAATGATTATGCCAAAAATTTGTGTTAATTTTTTCCCAAAGTATCCTATATTAGGCTGCAAATATTGTCAGGCAATGTGTATATGGAATTTGCAAATTAATAGTTTTTAAAGCTCTTCCTATTATCTAATTTATATTTATCTAATTACTTTTTTTTCCTGTTTCTATGATTTCTATCAAGAATCCACCTATATATGAACATGAATTTTTAATAGTATTTTTGTTACTGAGCATTTTATAAGTAATTGAAATTGAAAGTGTTAGCAGATTATACTTCATAGTTGAATGTTTTTGCTTGTGTGTTTGTGTGTGTGTGTGTGTGTGTGTTCTGTGGCCCATTGGATATAAATGTCATAGTGTTTTGTAATCTTTTTCAGAGGGGCTTCTGAACAATGCCAGGGATACAAGTGTCATGGATACTCTACCACTGAATGGTAACCATGGCAATAGTTACAGCATTGCCAGTGGTGAATACCTGAGCAACTGTGTGCAAATCATAGACCGTGGCTATAACCATAATGAGACCGCTCTAGAGAAAAAGATTCTGAAGGAACTCACTTCCAACTATATCCCTTCTTACCTGAACAACCATGAGCGCTCCAGTGAGCAGAACAGGAATCTGATGAACAAGCTGGTGAATAACCTTGGTAGTGGGAGTGAAGATGATGCCATCGTTCTGGATGATGCAACCTCCTTTAATCATGAGGAAAGTTTGGGTCTGGAACTCATTCATGAGGAATCCGATGCTCCTTTGCTTCCCCCAAGAGTTTACTCCACAGAGAACCACCAGCCACACCACTACACCCGAAGGCGGATCCCCCAAGACCACAGCGAGAGCTTTTTCCCTTTGCTAACCAACGAGCACACAGAAGACCTCCAGTCACCCCACCGGGACTCTCTCTACACCAGCATGCCAGCTCTGGCTGGTGTGCCTGTCACAGAAAGCGTTACCACCAGCACCCAGACCGAACCCCCGCCGGCCAAATGTGGTGATGCCGAAGATGTTTACTACAAAAGTATGCCAAACCTAGGCTCCAGAAACCACGTCCATCAGCTGCACATCTACTACCAGCTAGGCCGCGGTAGCAGTGATGGATTTATAGTTCCTCCCAACAAAGATGGGACCCCTCCAGAGGGAAGTTCAAAAGGACCTGCTCATTTGGTCACTAGTCTATAGAATATGACACAAAGTTCAGTCAACAAAACTGCTAACACCAGGTTGACTATTCTGAGTTGATGAAAGCAGCGGGCATCACATGTGTACTCCTCAATCTCTATGCTGTTCTTGAAAAACAAGCAAACTCTCAGACTTCCTTTACTTTTCTCCTTTTTTAAAAAAAACAAAACAAAACAAAACTCGGATTTTTAGGTCAGCCCAAAAGGAGAGACGCAACTGCTGAAATTCCCCTATGTCCTAGCCTTCCTCTCCTCCCCCACCTCAGATGGAGACTTCATTATGTTAATGAACGAGATATGAAGAAAATGGCGCTCATTGTGGCCTTGTTGAATTATGTTGTGTTTGTTCTAACATCTTTGATGCTCTGTTACTATCATGACAAGGACCTGATTTTGAAAAGGCCAAAAGAGTTGTTTGACATTAGTAACACTGCTGCATCTAGATCGGAGTGCTGCACAAACATACATAAAAACGAAGCAAAAACTCTTATCACATAGAGGTTTTTAGTCACTTACAACCTGAATTTACCACAGTGGGAACAGCTGTGGCATACAGGAAAAAAAAATTAAAAACAACAAAATTAATAATGAAATGGAGGGGAATTCTAGAATTATATGCTTAATGCATATTTAATGATTTGTTGTATTAACTGATGACAAAACTAATGGCAGAGAAAAAAATTGAACAATTTCTATGTAATGTACAGATACTAGCATTGCACATATAGTCTGCTTTCTGTTCCTCCAGAATTTGAGTCCTGTTAATGTAGTGGAAAAAAAAAACAAATTCTTTCTATTTCTTTTGTGCTGGTCTTGCAAGTTTGTCTACCAGTAAGAAAGCAACGTTTCGTTTCTTTCTTCTTACTTTTTCTTTTCTTCATTCCCCCCCCCTTGTTTCTTTTTGTTTATTTTCACCTTGCAAAAAATAAATAAATAAATAAATAAATGCAAATATCACTTTATAAGAATCATTTTCTAGTAATGCAAACAAAATTATTTTTTACAAAAAAAATAAATTTAAACTTCCCTCACTATATATCTTTATTCAGCCAGAATATTTCAAAGAGCATTTTTTGCAAATTAGAGCAGGATGGATGTTTATGTTTACAGTGCACATTTGTTGTAATGCAAATCAAATTTGGCAAGCAGTTCATCACCAAGACAGTAGCGATGATTCTAGAAGTCAAGAGGTGTCATTAGGAATAGTGGGGCTTCTGCATGTGAAAAAAAAAGGTATCCCATAGGCGTTAAAGTGCTGACTGCTCAGTCTGACCTCTAAGTGGGCACCTGCACTATCAATTTTAAAAGAAAATTCATTCCCCTGTAGTCAAACTGGAAAGGTAAAGTTATTTTGAGTAATTTTTTTTAAAGAAAACAAAATTCTTCTGTTAACAGAAAAAAAATTATTTATTTGACAGGATTTTAAGTAATGTAGGAATACAAGAGGTAAATTAGCAGCACATATAATTTTTTTTAAATTTATGATCCATTTTGTAATGGTCTCAAAGTTGGATGACCTCATTACTAATATTTGTTGTAAAAGTGAAACTTGTTTGCCAACCAATAAACAACTGATTGAGATTTAGAGCATATTGTATTGATGTATGTACTTTATAATTAATTGTTCTTTTCATCCATCTCGCCTTTCTTTCCTTCTGTTTTCAATATATGAAATCTGCTCATTTTTTCTTGACCCAAAGGAACATTGCAAAAGAAATCAATCTGTCTAGATGAATAACCTAAGCACAAAATTCTACAGCTTCTGCAGACAGACTAAACCAGAAAAATGGGATGGGCATGTTTATGTTGGCTGAAATCAGATGCTTAACTTACATTTAAGTAAATTAATATATATGGGTCACTATGTCATGCTTATAAACCATCTACAGTCCCTATTTTATTATAAAAGCCAACTTTAATCAAAAATTGAGTATGAAATTTTTATGGGTAGGAAACATATTTTTTTTTCTCCTGCAAGTTCCATTTTGATATTAGAAATTTAAATTTACACAGTTGGCAAAAAGTTGCAAGAATAAAGACAGTTGGTAATGAATGATAATGAAATTATGTATTGTATAAAGCTAGTTTAAGGCATCATCATGCTAATATTTTCTTGTTCTACATACGGAGGAGAAAATGGGAAATATCATTTTAGAGAAACTTTACAGATTTCCTATTACTGAAGAAACTTTGCCAGCAGTATCCAAGCATATGAAAACCCCTATTGGACAAGGCAAGAATGAATTTGCCATATTATAATGTTTTGAAGAACATGATATCATGGTTACTTCTTTTGCTTTAAAATTAAAATAAATATCACTTACCTAGAAATTTGTTTCTTAAATCATGATTAGTTTTGAGATTAGCCAGTGGTTGATATATAGTTTTTTTAAAGTATGATAAAAGAAGATTTCTATAAGAAAAAGTTGTGTGTCTGTATGCCCAATTTTAATAATTACTTCCAGATATCATTTATTTTTAGTCATTTTGCACCAGTATATTTTAGCGTATATATGAATTTTTAAGTTGAAGGAGAACTAATATCTTTAATGGTAAACAAATTGTTCTTATACAGCACTATGGCAATATTAGGTTAAATGATCTGACTCATAGAACACATGGTAATAATATAACCTTTCAAAGACACTTTAAAGGTAATATCAAGAAAAAAACTGTGGTCTATGGATCATTAACACTGATGCATGTTTTGCCAATCCACTGGTCATGTATGTGAAAGGAACTTCTTCAATAAGAGGCTGGTTAACAGAACAGTGGGAAACTATCACAATTTGCTTGTTTGTGTTAGTTTTTTGATATCTCTCTCTCCCTATTCACTATATTTTGTGTGTCATTATATGGAAATTTGAAACAGATAATCTCCCCAGCACTATACAGATCAAATTGGAAAAAAATTCTTAAGTGTATAAACTGATATAGATAGCAGCTTAGTACCATCAGTAAATATCATGGTCTTGCATCAAGAAGAGAAAAGGGTGAGATTTGTGAACTCTAATATTCTGTAATTGGTGTGCTTTCACAGAAAATTAAGATCTCAAAATATTACACAGGAAGAAATTGTTCCCTTAAGTTTTATGTGATTATAATGGGAAAAAATAGTGGATAAAGTAGCTCATTATGCATATAGTTCAGTAGAAATTTGTGTATGTCTAAGATGTATTCACTCAATCCTCTTTATACATAACAAGTTCAAATTCCTGAGCTTGAATCATTTTTAAATGCCTTTTCATGTATAGCTGTAGCACTGTAGCACTGTCCTCCAGTTGTTCATCAATTTGCTTGAGCGGGCACCAGTAATGTCTCACAACGAATTGTGAGACTTGTTGTTACTGTTTTTGGCATATCAAATATGTCACGGGGAGCTTGCCAGGCTTTGCCGTGCAGGCGAGATCCTCTCGGTAGCTTGCTGGGCTCTCCAAGAGGAGCGGAGGAATCGAACTGGGTCAGCCACGTGCAAGGCAAATGCCCTACCTGCTGTGCTATAGCTAGTGATAATAATTTTTGAATTTTTCTTTCTCTTTTTCCATCATTGATTTACTCTATATTTTTAATAGCATGTGATATAAATATTTAATATCTGCATATTTCTGATGCAATTAACTAATTTTCCATTAAATAGTAATTTTTCATACAATAGACTTATATATGTGTAGAATATTATTTAGCTAGCTGGAAGTAAACTTTGTGCAAATGAAACAAGCCAATATCTTTCCTAATAAACAATATTTTAATAACATTTAAACTTGAAATTTTCTCCCTTCAAATTAATTCCACATAACTTTCATCAGAACACTAGCTAAGAAACCTCATTGTCAGTAAACTAAGAAATTGTTGTACTGTTGCATATTCCATGTTCCCACTTTATTAGAATTTAAAATAGTGTAGTTGAATAATAAATGGTATACTAAAATAGTGATTATAACCCCAGAAAAGACAAGAGAACAATTATGTTGAAGTAAAAATAATAAGAAAAATATATTAGCCAAACCTCACTAATGGAAATTCTCTTCACTATGTAAGACAAACTCACAATAACTCTAAATGTAAGTGCAGTTTATAATCTATATTTTTAAATCCCATTAATCAAAAAGTGTTGACATTTAATATTGTGCTTTTTAATATGGTGTGACAAAAATTTCATAATGGATATAAGCATATCAGTTAGGAATATGGAAACAGAAGAATGAAGTAGAAACATAGCTAAGTAGCTTTTTAGAAGCACTTTGTGTTTCTGAGTTCTACATGAGATCCTTATTGAACTCATTGAGTAAATTCTGCGGAAAACCATAAATTCAATTTTGTTAATCAACAAATACACCCTTTTAAAACCATCTGGAAAATATTCTTAAACATCTAAATTTATATTTGTAAAGTTTTTAATGTTTGTAGCTACATCTTTCTTCCTAGGTCATGAGAAGAACCTTTGCAGTTAACTGATTAATCTGATTGCACTTCCTATTTTGCTATAAAGGGAACTACATTTTTGCTATAAAAGGGAAGTCAGTCTTTGATTTTCACCTGTGTGCATACTTACACATGATTCTTTTTGTTTACAGCCTTCAGAGAAAATAGTGTTTACAATATTTCAAGCATTGTGATTCTTGCAATTAAACAGGTGGTTATTATGGTTTTGCACGTTTCTATTTGAAGTCATTTCCTCCCCTACTTTTTCAGAAATTGAGTCACCACTTCCTTAACACCTAGGACCTTCAACTTATTCTTCAAATATCTTGATATTATTTACTTTAAATACTTATTTCTTTAAAAATATAATAATGCCAGTTTGCTTATTTAATTTGTGTTCCATTAGAATATTTCAAAGAACATACAAACTATGATTTTAAAGACAATGTTTGAAAAGGGAACTTTGATTTATATGAAAAATTCAGAGAAAACTGACAGTACAAGAGAAAAAAAAAAACCTGTTGGAATACCCAAAATCTTTTCATCCAGAATATATATCGAAAAAGAACAGAACCAAGCTGACAAATGCGTGATGAGGCAGCGGGACCTACTTTAGATTAACAGAGAAGAGCTTTC